CGGGTCTATCATCAGTTTGGCGGCGTGGTGTGCATTGCAGGCCTCTAGCGCCGATGTCATTTTTGCCGCTATCGATGAGCGAATGCGTAACGCCTCCACGAGCAAAGAGACGCGCTGTGCACTGCTCAACGTCATCCATGAACTTCTCCTTACGTGTGCTGCCAACGGTGTTCCAGAGGCAGGGAAGCGGAGTGTGCTGATGGCGGTTAGTAAGACCCTTCCTGGCATGGTGCAGGCGGTGCGCGGAATTGCTGGGGCAGACGCCGAGGCGTTTGAGCAAAATCTGTCAAAGGTGGTGTCATGGTGGTCGATGCTGAATATTTTCCCACGTGCATGGATCGCCCAGCTTGGTGTGAAAAAGGAGGCGGAGCAGCCTAGAGATGCGACAGGAGGGGCTTCAATGCCCGTGCAGCTTTCCTACATTGCGAACCTGATGTCGAGGTACAACGAGATGAAGGAAGAATGTCTTCGAGTTTCACATGCCTCACCGGAACGAGCGGCGTCTCTTCGTGAAGAGGCGATACAACAACTTACAAAAATTAGGGAGGTTGTTCACTGCAAGCTAGACGGCGGGGTGTCTCTCGTTGCATGGCTTGATGCGGAGCGGAACGCGTTGGAGGGAAATTTGCCGAGCATGACATCCTCCGTTGCGGGAAAGAAGGAAGAAGATGACGTTCTTGGCTCCTTTTTTTGAAAGCCGGAAATTAAAACTTTTCACATTTACGTTGAGAAAAAACAATGCGATTCAGGTATGTAATTGGATAAATATTGCAAAGTGGATGTTTGTTTTTTTTTTTTTTTTTTTTTTTTGCATCATGTGTATTATTACCGTTTCTCTTTCTTTATTGTTTATCAAGTTTGTTTTTTTTTTTTTTTTCTTGTGTGTGTGAGTCTGTTTTTGTCTGTGGTTTGGGGGGAGGGATATTTAAGCGTAATTCAGGTCATTTTTTCATTATGGACTTAAATGTGGAGAGCATGCAGCAACAGCAGCAGCAACAAGGAGTAGAGCATCTTCCGCGATGGTCGTGGAATCTCTACCCCGCGAACCGGATTGATGCTGCGCGGATGGTAGTCCCACTCGGCTGTGTCTACGCACCAATCGGGTCCTCGTGCAAGGAAGTTTACTACGAGCCATTGCGCTGTGTGTGTGGTGGCATCTTGAACCCGTATTGTGTGATTGACTTCCGGTCCAGGACATGGGGATGTCCTTTCTGTGAAACCAAAAATAATTTCCCACAACAGTATGTCCACATATCGGACCAGAACTTACCATTGGAGCTTGCAGGGTGGAACGATACAGTAGAGTACGTGAGCATTGTAAAGCGTGACCCACCAGTCTTTGTATTTGTCTTGGACACCTGTGTAGACACAGAGAGTGAGCTTGAAGGGTTGAAGGAATTTGCGTTGGATGCCCTCAGCAAGCTCCCAGCTGAGGTGCGGATTTGTCTTATTACTTATGGGACGACGGTGCAGATTCACGAACTTAGCGGTGTGACGGATTACCCGCGTTCTTTGGTGCTGCGTGGAAGCCAAGAGGTGACCGTGGAAACTCTCAAAAAAGTTATGCCGGAACCAAAATTTTTTGTGGGTGTCCTCTCGAATGTGAAGTCTGTGGTGACTGTGATTCTTGAGGAGCTGCAACAGGACGTATGGCCTGTGCCCAAATCCCACCGTCCGTTGCGATGCACAGGCGCCGCCCTCTCCGCCGCCGCCAGTATCCTCGAGATTGTCTCACCAAACACAGGGTCGTGCATTCTTGGCTTTATTTCCGGTATCTGCACGGAGGGACCAGGCATTGTTGTGGAGACCACACGGGAAAGGTTTATTCGGGGCCATGCGGATATTCGAGACAGCACAGCTGCTGCATCTTTTTGGGAGTCATCTTGTACCTTTTATGACTCTCTGATGCATAGGATTGTTAAGCAGGGGCATTCACTCAGTTGTTTCACTGCCTCACTGGATCAGACGGGTATAGCGGAAATGAAACTCTGTATTCAGGCCTCAGGAGGAGTTGTGTTAAACGACGAATCATGGCGAAAGGAACCTTTTCGTCAATCGCTTCACCGCTTCTTTGAACGAAGGGATGACGGCACGCTGAAGATAGGACTAAACGTCACGATGGATGTCATTACGTCAACGACGTGGAAAGTCATGGGTGTGATTGGGCAATGTGTGGGCACAGGCAAGAAATCGTCTTCTGTAGCCGAATACGAAGTGGGAATGGGTGGCACATGTCAGTGGACGGCATGTATGATGGATTGTACAACTAATTTTGCGATCTATTTTGACACAACAGCCGCCCACCCGTCGGAGGCGGCAAAGCGGTCGGTGCGATATGCTCAGTTTATCACAAAGTATGAAATAGGGAACGAGGTGCGAACACGTGTGTGTACTGTGACGCATCAGGCGCAATGTACCACAAGCATGCCCGAGTTATCCGCCTCCTTTGATCAGGAGACGGCGGCGGTGCTCTTGGCACGAGAAGCGCTGCATAAGGCAGACACCACCCCATTATTTGATGTTCTCCGATGGTTAGATCGAACGGTGGTGCGCCTCGTCAGCCGCTTTGGTGATTATGTGAAGGATCATCCTTCGACATTGAAGCTACCACCGCAATTTGTTTTTTTTCCAGCCTTCATGTATCACCTGCGAAGATCGGCGTACCTGCAAGTATTTAACTGCAGTCCTGATGAAACGGCCACTCTGCGTCTGATGCTTCTTAAGTCATCCGTCCAGGATTCTATTATTCAAATTCAGCCCACACTGTACAGCTACCGCATGGATGCTCCGCCGCAGCCTGTACTTCTTGACAGTGCTGCTATTCAGCCCGATAACATTCTTCTTCTTGATACTTTTTTTGAGGTTCTTGTTCATCTTGGCTCAACTATTGCGGCGTGGCGAAGGGCGGGGTACGCTGAGCTAGAAGAGTATGCCTATTTCAAGGAGTTTTTGCAGGTCCCTGTAGCGGATGCAGAGATACTTGTGGCGGGCAGGTACCCCACCCCTCGGTTCATCTACGTTTGTCAAGATGACCCGGACGCACGCATTCTTTACAATAGAATAAATCCAAGCCGATCGTATGGAGGAGAAAATGACCAAAAATATGGAACAAACGAAGGGGAGCTGGTGTACACAGACGATGCATCACTTGGAGTGTTCATGGAACACTTGAAGAAGCTTGCGGTCTCTCAGTGAGACGGTAAGGGGTGAATTGTGCGTCACCCATCTGGTTTTGCTTTAATGATGCGGAGCTGTAACCTTCTTTGGTGCCGGTGGATCTTTGTTTCTTCCCTTCCCTTTTTCTCACGCCCCCACACATTCTTTTTCTTCTTTGTCTGTATTTTCTCCTTCTCTTTTTTTTTTTTTTTTTTTTTTTTGTGTGTGTGTGTATGTGTGTGTGAGCTCAATATTTTCTTCTTTTACTTGTTAAAGTAAAAGTACGGAAAGTATCTAGGGTGGAGATGAGGGGGGCGCACGCCTCCGGTTTATTGGAGGCCGTCTCGTCTATCTTTTTGTATTGAGCGGTAAACTCCATTTTGCGCGGTTTGTGCAGGAGGGACAAGGGCGATTTGCTGTTGGTGGTGTTCACGCATTTTGTTTTGAACTTCCTTTTTTTTTTCTTTTCTTTTTCTTCTGTTCTTGTTGCTGTTGTTGGTTGTTTATTTCATTTGGCACACGCTAAAAGCAGTTCTTTAGTCTGTTTGCTTATGTTGTGTTCCTTGGTAGAATTCTTCCTGTGGGTTGTTGCGTGTGTGCAGCCGCTTTTTGCAGGCGTCCAACTCTGCCGCTCGGCACGAGAGGGACGATCGGTGGACGCAGCGCTCATCACGAACCTGACGCTGGCCATGATTCTTTTTTGGCTGCTAGAATTGCTAGATGTACTTTTTCTCTCGTATCTCTTATCCATGCGGACCCTCTATATTTCGGCTCGCGTCATTTTCTCCCTGTACCTTCTTCACCCGAGATTTTGCGGGGCGACAAGGGTGTACAATCGCTTCCTTGCATCTTCTGTGGCTTATTACGCGCCGCTAGTGGACGGCTTTGTGGTGCGGCATCTTGTGGAGCTCGAACATTCCGGCTTTATTTGTTACTTGGGCAATGCAGGGCGTTCCCTGATGCTCATCAGCGTCGACTTGCTTGATGTGGCCAGTCAGTTAGTGTTTTCTGCTTCAAAGTCGACAGGACCCTCTGAAAAGAAAAAAGGAGCGGGAGGACCAGACGTTGTGGAGTCACCAACTGTTCCGCCACAATTGAGTGGTATTTTTTTTGCGTCAAAGCAGTGATTTTGAGGACTAAAAGGTGCTCACGAAGAGGGTTACGGAATAATCCCGGGCCACCCCCTCCTTCCATTTGCACACAATCCTGCTGAAGTGTAACACGGCCCCTTCCTTTGTCCTTACGAGAGAAAAAAGAAAAAGAAAAAAGGCAAGCAAATACGGAAACGGTTTCTCGACGCGCTTGGCTATCGTTCTTTGCTAAAGCCGTAAGCCTGAGTGAGCAACAGTAATTTGCTGCCGGAAGAAGGAAACAAAAAAAAAAAAAAAGAAATATACTTTGAGAAATGTGGGGTGTTTTTTCATGCGGCTGATGAAAATATGGAGATTGACATGCTATTGTTTGTGAATGGCATTTTTTGTTTGTTTTATATTCTTTTTCTTCTACACATTTTCTGTTGTTGTTGTTGTTATTTTCTTGTGCTCATCAACATCTTGCCCACTGGTATTTTAATGGGCCCAATTACATTTAGTTGGTGGTGGTGGGGTAACGGTAAGGGGACAATGCTGAGCGCACAGGGAGCAATTACCAATGAGCTCGTCATGATTGAGTGCACCAGCTCTCAGGAACAAAGTGCAAAGGAGATATTTCTTCTTAGCGAATTGGAGCGTGTGTGGACGGCGCTTTCTACTGTCCTGCGTGGCCATCTCATTGAGGGCCACAATGTGCGTATTGCCAATTTTGGTTCTTTTTGGTTTGAAACACGCCCGGTGGTGTCAGACGGAGTTGAACGTTACTACGCGCGCCGGGTTCACTTTGGCATGGACAGCAATTTTGCCCTTCGTTACAATTTAGACTCTAACAAGGTGCCACAAGAACCGCCCAGACTGGTGTACGTGAAGATAAGCATGGCAGATGTCGTCAGCATTGCAGAGGTTCCCGCACGTACGGCATCCATGGCGCTTCGTGAGTTCTTCTCATACGTGGGAGAAGGTCTTTTCAGGCATAAGGTGTTTAAAATAACGTTTTTAGATGTCGCCTCTCTATTGATTAAGCGTGAGAAATCGGTATTAGAAATTGATCCATCTTTTCGGCGTGATATTTTCGCCATTGACTCCCGCAAATGGCCGCCAAAGGTGCGTGAGGCGGCAGAGTCGGTGGTGATGGAAATCGGTCGTCCTGCAACGGCATCATCGGTAGTATCCCGCCTCTCCACAGCAAAGCTCAGTCGGCAGAGTGCTGCGTCAAGACCTATAGAGCCGCGCCCCGCCTTTGTCACATCCGCACCACGCGATCGACTCTTCTCGGAGATAGAAAAGGAGCCACCACGTAAGTTGCCTCCACGTAGTTCCTTTCCCGTCGAAGATTCATCACGAGGCACCGATAACGATGCTGCGGCATGTGTCAAGGAGTCTATTTTTGACGCCTTGAGCTCAGATGAGTATCCACCAGAGGAACCAGAGATTGAAGTGATTGAGGAATTGCCAAGAGAACTCCCACCACTGCGTGCTTATGAGGAAGAAGCAGCAAAGCCCGTTGTGAACACTGGAAGGCGTTCGTTTCACGACCACAGTTCCGTTCGTGAGTTAATTTATGGGAAGGCAATAGCCCAGGTGGAACCATTGATGCGGGGAAGGAGACGCTACATCAACCGTGACTCGGACGCTGTTGCGGCGCTAATGAAAAGTTCATAGAAAGAAGGGGAGATAATGGGGAGGGGAAAAACTGAGGCAGAGAAGGTGAAAATTATAGGGAAAGGAGAAACCATTCTGAGCGTCCCCGTCATTAAAACTCACCTATTATTTTGTGTGTGTGTGTGTTTTGGGGGGAAGGGGGAAAAAGATTGGCTTTGCTGCGCTTTGTAATTTGTGTCTTTTTGTTTGTGTTTATTATTATTATTGCTATTGTCCATTCTCCATTCTCTTTTTTTTTTTTTTTTTTTGACGCGACATGGGGAGAGTGCCTGGAGGACAATGTCCTCACGCTCCAATAGGTACAACCAATCATCGGGCAATGGGACGCTTCATAGTGGCTACGACATGTCACGGCGCGAGATTCCCGTCACAACATCCGCATCTGAGGGCATGTCGCGCGTAGAGCAGCGACTCCGCATACTGAAAAGCAGCCGTGTGCGGTGGACGACTGACACGCAGGGTGAGACCTTGGATCCTTCCCCGCAGCCGTCTGTGTCATCCATCCCAACAGCGGTGGAACCACCATGCGCCACATACCCTGCATTTGACCTTGCACGCCTGTCGAAGCACGAGCAGCACATAGTTGACGCTCTTTTGGCGGAGGTTGTCGATGCCGTTGCTTTCCCCAGTGTGCAGGATGACTTGGCCCAGTGATCCACTGGGGTGATTTGATGTTTTTGTTGTTGTTGTTGTTGTCGTAATTGGAGCGGAATTCGACGAAGGTGAGGGGAGGAGAAAAAGAACGAGAAAATGAAAAAGGAACGGATGTAATGCGATTGCCATTGTGGATTCCTTTGGCGCTTGTTTTGTGTTGCTGTTGTTATTATTATTATTATTATTATTACTATTTTGCGTGTGCGTTTTTTTATATTTTTCTACCTTATATTTTCTCTGCCTACTCCCAATTCCACATGGTTGCAAGTGGGCAGAGAAGGCGTGGCGCTCCTTTGTTTTTGCGTTATAAACTTTTTTTCCTTTTTTTTTGTATTGAAAAGGTGGGTGGAGTGGGATGCCGCAAAACGAGTACATTGAGTTGGCGCAGAAGCGCTACGGTCGCCGTCTCGATCACGCCGAACGCACGCGCAAACGCGATGCCCGAAAGGCGCACACGCAAGCGAAGCAACTGCGCACTGTTCGAGGCATCAAGGCTAAGATAGCTTCTAAACGGCGCTACGCGGAAAAGGCGGAAATCCGCAAGAAGATACGTGAGCATGAGGAAAAGGAAACAAAAGAGCGCGTGAAGGAGAAGGGACCCAAGAACGCGCTGCCCAGCTTTCTCATGGACCGCAGCGAGGCTGACCGTGCAAAGGTGCTTTCCAACTCTTTGAAACAGAAGCGGAAAGAGAAGGCCGGGAAGTGGGCGGTGCCCATTGAAAAGGTCAAACCCGTCAGCGAGGATGAAATGATGAAGGCCGTTACATCCGGCAAGCGCGGAAAGAAGTCATGGAAGCGCATGGTGAATAAAGTAACATTTGTCGGCGAAACCTTCACGCGTCGTATGCCAAAGCACGAACGTTTCATTCGTCCCATGGCTCTCCGTTTTAAAAAGGCTCATGTGACGCATCCGGAGCTGAAGGCTACGTTTCACTTGCCTATCATTGGTGTCAAGAAGAATCCACAGGGTAAAATGTACACTGGACTTGGTGTTATCACGAAGGGGACAGTCATTGAGGTGAATGTCTCGGATCTAGGTCTGGTTACACCGTCAGGAAAGGTGGTCTGGGGAAAGTACGCGCAGGTAACTAACAACCCGGAGAACGACGGCTGCATCAATGCCGTGTTGCTGGTGTAATTATATATATATATATAAAGGCTTGTATTTTCTTCCCTCTTTTAGTTTATTCTAGCAATCGTATTGAAAAGAAGATAAAAAAAACGCGGGGAGCGGAAAAGATGATACTGCCTTTGAAGTAGATGTGTCGGCGCTTCATCCCGTGTGAGTGTTTATGGGCCGGTGGACGAGTGGCGAGTAAAGCATCCATTACTTTTAAGTGAAGAAACATAAAACAAAAGGACACACACAAATGCGACGATGAACTAAAAACCCCGCGCTATACGGAGTTTTGTTGTGTGGCCGCACCTGCTCTTATTCCTTTGTACACTTGCTGCTCACTTATTTTTATTTTATTTTATTTTATTTTACCTTCGTGTGTGCCACTGGCCGCTTCTTTGGGCGTTGCGGTAAGTAGAAAGTGGTGCCACTTCATTAAAAAGGAGGAAAACAAGAAATCAAAACAAAACCAAAATTACATATTATTTTTTTTTTTTAAGAAAGAAAGAAAAAAA